GAATCTACATAGAACACTCTTGTTTGATTCACTCATGGGGCAGTGCTGGGGTCGGGGTGGGAGGTTTTCTGAGTGAGCTATACGTCACAGCTGGGTTCTGCCGTGCTGAGTTTTCCCTTGGAAGCTCTGACTAGAGAGAGGACATTTGTAGAGGAGTCTTGACCTCAATCTCCCACCCCTTTCTTTTGTCTTTTCTTTTGTATAATGAATTGTGTCGTTGAGCATTTCCTCAAGATCCAACTATACCCACTCCTAGTCTCAAGTACACAACAAGGACATCTTTATCGGAAACGGTGCCAGCCCACAAATCACCAAGGAGGCTGTGGCACGGGAGGAATACATTTCAGATCCCACATAAGCCTGGAACAGGAGCTTGGTGGGGGAAGGCTGAAGGTTCCTAAGAAGACCAGCCCAGGATACACATTTCCAACTCCGTGGCCAGATTTAGGTCTGAAAGACACCTGTTATGTAAATAGAGAGATAAAGCCAGGCAGGGACCAGGGGCTGGGGGCTCTGCCATGGAGTGACTTAGTCTCTCTTAAAATGCCCACGTGGCTTGAATGCCAGTAGCTGAATGCCAGGCAGACCCAGACGGTAAACACAGACATGTCAGGATGAAAGCACAGTTCTGTAGGTGAGCACCTGACTAGCACGGATGGCCCAGGGTTGAAACTCCAGCCCTTCCACACACACATACTGAAGATGGCAATGCTTAGCTGTCACTCCCCACCACCCCCACAAGAACCTGTGTTCGTTTGTAATCTGCTCCATAGAGAAACATGGTGGCAATGGCCTAGAAAGTCCTTTAATCAGAAACACCCACTTGTTAACCCAGGGACACCAGGGCCCCAGGCCAGACTGCTTCAGAACACACCGGGCATTGTCTGCCCGCACTGGATGATGCAGTCGCTGGTGGCTGGCTCTCAGCATCCTAGATCTGCACCCTGGCTGGGCCCATTCAGCAGTGTGATCCGCCACACACTGCCTCCAGGTCAGCGGGGAGGAAGAGCTTCCGGACCGGGAATCGGTCGGGATCAGGCTCAGCTTTTAGGGTAACCCCTTCACAGAGACTAATCTGTGACCCTTTCCTGTGTTCCTATCAGCGGTTTAGAACAATCACAACTTGGTCAAGCCCTTCACCCACATGCGGCTCCGCACTTGAAAGACTCGGGAGCAGTTTTGTGGTGCAGAACGTCCTTTGAAAGCTCCGAGTGGAGGAAAGCGTTTGCTTACTAGGAGTTTAGGGGTGGGAGGCACAGCTTGCGAGGGACGCTGGAGTTCAAAGGCACCGCCTTTAATCCCAAACCGTTTTCATTTCGCTTAACTTTTATTTCTTTCTGGGTGGCTAAACTGCAAACTTCTATAATCTACTGCCAAGTCATTTTTCTTAAGAAGGTGGATACATTACCCCATCCACAGCCGGGGGACGGCCCTCAGGAATGCTGGTAGGACAGCGTTGCACGGCTGAAGGCAGAGCGGAGAGTAGGCCACTGTTTTCTCTAGGGAGCAGATTCTTTCCCTGGCCAGTGTGCGCTGCTGGAACACAAGTGGGACGAGTAAATTTGGAAATCTGATCCCCTGGCAACCAGAGATATTGGGAAGAGGAGACTAAATGGTTCTGCGGTTGCAATGTTTGTGTTAGTAGAACAGCCAAAACGTCAGCCGTGGTGATGAACACTGTCCAGGTCACACGCAAGCGGCTGATGACGAAGCTCAACGTTAGGAAATAATGTTTAGGGACAAAGTGGAAGAAATACAGAAACAGCCAAGAAGTGAGTGGAATATTTTACGAACAATGTTCTGCCCTTCCTTGTTAAAACTAAGAGACGTGTTTGTTTTTTTGTTGTTTTGGTTTTTTTGATCAGTTAGGGCCATAAGCTGGACTAGGGAGCCAGACTATGACACCGTTCTGCTTGCTTCTTTCTTTCTCTCTCTCTCTCTCTCTCTCTTTCTTTCTTTCTTTCTTTCTTTCTTCTTTTCTTTCTCTCTTTCTTTGTTTCTTTTGTGAGACAAGGTTTCTCTGTTTTATCTCTGGCTGTCTGTAGAACAGGCTGGGTTTGAACTCAGAGATCCACCTGCCTCTGCCTTCCTAGTGCTGGGCTTAAAGGCATGTGCCACCTCCGCCCAGTTTTTTTTTTTTTTTTTTTTTTTTTTGTCTTTTTTTTTTTTTTTAAGATTTATTTATTTATTTTGTGTATATAAGTGCTCTATCTTCACATACACCTGCACGCCAGAAGGGGGCATCAGACCTCAGTATAGATAGTTGTGAGCCACCATGTGGTTGCCATGAATTGAACTCAGGACCTCTGGAAGGGCAGACAGGGCTCTTAACTGCTGAGCCATCTCTCCAGCCCCCCACAAAGAGACTTCATAACATTACTTTCAAACTTGCACACCATACACAACTTCCTACCCCACCTCCCACACATATGTCCATGCTTTGACTCTTTAGAGTATTAATAACTTATAGAAGTAACCAAAGCTGATCATGTTAACAGACTGGATTTCTTTTATTTTGTTTGTATGTAGTGGTGGGAAGCGGGGTGCTGGAGAAAGCTCTGGCTGTTCTGGACCTCTCTATGTAGACTAGGCTGGCCTTGAACTCACAGAGATCCACCTGCCTCTGTCCCCCAAGCACTGGGATGGATGTAATTTCTTAAGAGAGTAAGTGGTGAGGTGAGCTAAACTGAATGGACTAGATCTTGATGTATACGACTGTCTTTACTCTTTTTTGTCTGTCTGTCTGTCTGTTCACTGAGACAGGGTTTCTCAGTGTAGCTCTGGCTGTCCTGGAGACTTCCTATGTAGACCAAGCTGGCATCAGACCCACAGATAACCTGCCTCTCTGTTTCGCAGTTGTTGGGATTCGAGGCGCGTGCCACCTCTGCCAGGCACCTCTGTCTTTACTCTTAATATCAGCACAGACCAGTCCTCCACACAGCTTTTCCTTCTCATAATTCTCTAGAGGGAAATGTGGGGTGTTTTTGTTTGTGTTTGTTTGTTGTTTCGTTCTGTTGGTTTTGAGATAATGGCCCTTTTGATTACTTGATTTAACTTGTTCCTGTGCTGGTTGGACCGTACTTTATTTTGGTAGACTACAAGCCTTAGCTTTAATTGGCTTCCACGGGTTAATCCGGGAGGATTAAGTGAAAGTCCGAGATGTTTATCACTGCACAGACTTTGCTTAGCCTACCGTTCCTTAAGGTTTGCCCTGTCGGGTATGAAACATTAACTGGAAATCAACTGGCACACGAACTCACAAAGTGGCACAGTTAGGAGCTACCTGAGGAAGCTTATCACATCATGCGCATCAGAGCAGCTTCAGTAAAAAACCAAGGTGCTGGAGAGGCGGTCCAGTGGTTAAGAACACTGGTTAACAGTGGTCGTGCCCCTTTGGGGAGGACTCAAGTTTGACACCCGCCTGGTGACTCACAGTCATCCACAGTGCTGGCTCTAGGAGACCCAAAACCCCTGGCCTGGCCTGTGGGGTCCCCAGGCATTCTCACGGTGCACATCCATCCATCCATGCAGGCAAAACACTCAAGCACAGAAAATAAAAATAAATAAATTTTTTTTTTTAATGTCTGCTGCTTAAGCACGAGGACCTGAGTTCAAATCCCCAACACCTGTGTGCCTGCCTGCCACACTAGCACTCCAGGGGCAGGGACTGGGTCCTCTTTGCGACCCGCTGAACCCCAGGTTCAGCGAGAGGCTCTATCTCACGGGAATAAGGTGGAGAGTGATGGAGCAGGATGCCCGGTATCTTCCCCTTGGGCAGCGGTTCTCGGCCTTCCTAATGCTGAGAACCTTTAATACAGCTCCTCGAGTTGCGGTGACCCCCAAACCATACAATCATTTTCGCTGCTACTTCATAACTGTAATTTTTGCTGCTGTTATAAATCATAATGAAAACATCTGATATGCTTGATGTTTAATCTGTGACCCCTGTGAAAGGGCCGTCGATTCCTCCAGAGGGGACACATCGAGACCCCCAGGTTGAGAACTGCTTTGGACAAGTGTGTGCCCCCACACATACGCACATATATCAAACATGCAAACACACTCATACACACACACACTACAGAAAGGAGGTGTTAATGGGCTATAGAGGAACTGGTACTTGAACCCACCACAACCCTCTCACAATCCACACTGGAGACAGCCAGAACTATTCAAACAAAAAACACTGTTGCCGTGATTATCCATATCCAGTGCTCCGGAGGCAGACGCAGGTTGATCTTTCTGAGTTCAAGGCCAGCCAAGGCTACTCAGAGAAACTCTCTCTTGAAGAGAGAAAGAGAGAGAGCACCCAGGTTCAGTCTGAACCTGTTAATAAGCAGTTTTTTGCCACCTTTGAAGAATAATTGTGGAAAAGCAGATCAAAGGCATTTGGGAGGGCAGCCCTGGAGAACTCTAGAACTCTAAGCTGATCTTATCCTGAAGACTTTGAACCACATTATTATATGAACCGACAGGACTGACAGGTGAACGCCTCCCAAGCAAAAAGGTTTATGATTTTAAGGGAAACCTAACAAGTGCTTAGAAAAACATCTTTCCCTAAGAGGTATCCCTGGGAAAACGCAGGAATTATGACAGTCTTGGCCAAGCCTGTGTTGCGTTCCTCTCCCCATCTGTAGGAAGATACATAAAAATTTAATTGAAATGCTTTGCTCCCCCAGTAGCCATTCTGAAGGTCTCCCTCTCCCTCAACTGGGGAGGAAGTCAGACACTGATCATCAAGGGTGACTTCCATAGTTCCACGTTTTCTCCCTCCTATAAAATAACTCTACACATGCTTCTTTTTTCATATTTAACCAAGGTTTAGATGGGTGGAAACCAGAGTATTCACCTCACAGATCACCCCCCCCAGCTGTTCCTCCAAACACCCAGAACGGAGAAGATGGGACGACACCCCTTGTCGCACCCACCAAAGCACACAGGATATAGTCACACTTCAGTAAATATCCTGGAACTGAATCTCTCTTCTCTTCTCTTCCCAGCTTCCGCAGATTCACTCGGTCCAACAGCGTGACAACTGCAGTACAGGCCGACCTGGACTTCCATGATAACCTGGAAAATTCTCTGGAGTCTATAGAGGACAATTCGTGTCCCGGCCCAATGGCCAGACAGTTCTCCCGGGATGCCAGCACCTCCACAGTCAGTATCCAGGGTTCAGGAAACCACTATCATGCCTGCGCAGCCGACGATGACTTTGACACGGATTTTGACCCCTCTATCCTGCCTCCTCCGGACCCCTGGATTGACTCTGTCACAGAAGACCCTCTGGAGGCCGTTCAGAGGTCTGTGTGCCGCCGGGATGGCCACTGGTTCCTGAAGCTTCTCCAGGCAGAGCGAGACCGCATGGAGGGGTGGTGCCAGCAAATGGAGAGAGAAGAGCGAGAGAACAACCTCCCGGAGGACAGTAAGTAGCACCGCTGCCCAGGTCTGTGACTGTGGTGTGGGCCACACCGGTTTGTGCTGGTGGGCTTTCCTGTTTTTGTTCTCGTCAGCTCAACCTGTGTGACCTTGTTTCACCCTCCAAAGCCAAATCTGTGGAAGGGCTGGGCAGTTCCAGCTGAAAGAGCAGGAACTTCTAGACAGCACAATAAAGAAGAGAGCCACTGGGCAGATGCTCCATCCTCCAGCTCTAAGATCTGTAGACCCTTCCTCCTCTGAAACACAGGCAATATCCGCTGGCCATGCATGATGGCACACACCTCCAATCCCAGGACCTGGTGCAGGTGGCTCACTGTAAGCTCATTCTCCCCATGATTCCCTGCTCCCCAGAATAACCTTGAAATGTATCTGATCCTAAAGGATTAAAATTAATTCTAACTAGGCTTGAGGTCTATCCCCATCAGGGTTACTGTTGCTGTGATGAAGCACAGGGACGAGAAAGCAAGTTGGGGAGGAAAGGGTTTATTTAGGATCATTGCTCTGCATCGAAGAAAGTCAGGACAGGAACTCAATCAGGGCAGGAACCTGGAGGCAGGAACTGATGCAGAGGCCATGGAGGGGTGCTGCTTACTGGCTTGCTCCTCATGGCTTGCTCAGCTTGCTTTCTTATAGAACCCGGGACCACCAGCCCAGGGGTGGCACCACCCACAATGGGCTGAGCTCTTTCTATCAATCACCAATTAAGAAAATGGCCTACAGGCTTGCCTACAACCCCATCTATGGAAGCATTTTCTTAATTGAGGTTCCCCCTTCTCAGCTGACTTTAGTTTGTGACATAAAATTGTGGACACCTCAGTTCTTTCTGTTACTGTAATAAAATAGATGAAAGCAACTTAAGAGAAAACGGGTTTACTTCAGCACACAAACCACCATTTCAGGGGAAAGTACAGCCGCAGGAGAATGAAACAGCTGGTCACAGTATGTCCCAGCGATCCATTGAAGAATGAATGTATGCATGTTAGTGCATAGCCTGCTGTTTCCTCTCCTCAGGATCCCCTGCCTAGGGGACAGGGCCTCAGCAGCAGGGAGGTCTTTGAACCTCAGGTAACATAATTAAGAGAATCTCTCAAAGGTACACATGGGCTCATCTCCTGGTTGATTCTAAATTTTGTCAGGTTGATAACACTAATAGCTATCATGATGTATATATATATATATATATATATATATATATATATATGTGTGTGTGTGTGTGTGTGTGTGTGTGTGTGTATGTGTTGGGCAATTATAATCTTTATAGTTTTGTTAGTCTTATTAACATACAGTATTAAAATTACAATAACATATAGTCCAGTAGATATTTTTTTTTCAGCCGGTTTGTTTGTTTTGTTTTGTTGAGACAGGGTCTTTCATAACTCAGGCTCTCCTGGAGCTCAGGAGCAAAAGATGACTTTGAACGAACTTTTTCCTACTTCTACCAAATAAGTGCTAGGATTCTAAATCTGTGTCACCAGGCATGACCAGCTGACCACTCCTCTTCCCCCACCCCACCCCACTTTTGACACAGACTCTCACTGTATGGCCCTTGCTGCTCTGGACTTTGCTCTGTAGACCAGGCTGTCCTCAAGCTTACAGAGATCCACCTGCATCTGACTTCCGGGTGCTGGGATTAAAGGTGTGTGCCATTGGGCATGGCCAGCTAACCGCTTTTCTTTTTCAAAGACTTAGTTTTTAATTTCTATGTGTGTTTTGTCTGCATGTATGTCATGTACACCGCATGGGTTTCTGGTGCCCATGGAGGTCAGATGAGGGCATGGGGTCCCCTGGAGCTGGAGGCACGGGTGCTTGATAACCTCCAGATGGATACTGGGAACCAAACCCGAGGTCTCTGTGAAAGCACCAAGTGCCTTTAGCTGCTGAACCATCTCCCCAGTTCCATAGCTGGCCCCTTCTGACTGGTTGAAACTAAACTGCTTTTTTGCCAGTCTATTGACATATCCAGTTAGGTTACTATTCCCTCTATATGAAGTATCCTCTAGGGTAAATTTAGAGCTGTGTAGGAGGCAGCCTCAGGCCAGACTAAGTTCAACTGTACACCAATAATAGTAAGAGTGTGGCTGCCCAGGCCTGGAATCCCTGCACTAGGAAGGTGAAGGCTAGAGAATCAGTCTTCACCTGCATAGTGAGTTCAAGGCCAGGCTGGTCTACAAGAGACTCTGTCTCAGTGTACATAAACAGAAAACTTGGCAAAGGAAAGTCACTAGATTACGTTAGGTCTGAGCGCTCTAAACTGAGGACAAGGTTTATGCTCAGTGTGTATTTTGATCTTCTGTGCTTCTTATCCCCTAAATGAATAACTGTTGGTTTTGTTTTCCTTCTTTCTTTCTTTCTTTCTTTCTTTCTTTCTTTCTTTCTTTCTTTC